TTTGCACTCTAGCTCCCTTGTCTCCAGGACTTCTCCAGAGCTTCCCCCATCCTCTGGAACTCTCTACCCCAATCAAACTATCACCTACTCTGCTCACTTTTAGGCGATCTCTGAAGACCTATCTCTTCAGGGAAGCCTATCCTGCCCTCAGCTAATAATGGAATCTTCTACTCTTCCTACCAGTCCATCCCCCACAGTTACTACCTTTTGCACCACTAGCCCCTCCCTCTTAGATTGTAAGCTCCAAGGAGCAGGGCCCTCCTAACCCTCTTGTGTTGAACTGTATTGTTGCTGTATCAGCCAATGAGGAGAAAGAGTCCCTGGAGAGCCGCTACCCTTGTGCACATCGCTGCATTGTAATAGGGACCAGGTTAATATTAGGGGGGCTGCAAAAGGTGCTGAACACAAAGGGGTTTTTACCTTCATGCATAGTTTGCATGAAGGTAAAAAAAAAAAAAAAAGCTTTGAGCCTTTACAACCACTTCTTTGAATCAGGTAATATATTCCACATGCCTCAAAGTCTTACAGTTCGTAGGACCTTTGCAGAGAGACCACTGCTTCCATACAGAGCAGAGGTCTGACATACCTGCTGGCAAGTCAGGGCTAGAGCGCCCCAATCAGCAATGCTCATAAACGGGTGTGTTGGACTCAACTGGAGGAACGGTCACCTTTTTGAATATGAGGGAACCTATTCTGGTGTTTCAGCGATGTGAATTGAGCCTCTTCTGCTTTGATGTGCCTGGAATGTGTAAAGCCCATTTAAACTGAAAGTTTAGTTGGACTTAAAAGGAGGAGTTGAACTTGTTAACCACCTCCCGTCCTCCGGACACAGTGGAACACCGATCGTCGTACGGGACCTCTCTGCGAGGTCCCGATCATGTGATCACTGATTGGCCAATCAGTGATCCCATCAGAGTTGTAAGCAAGATGTCACTTCTGACATCATTGCTTACTACGTGTGAAATCTGTGATCAATCACAGAGGTCACATGGTACAAGGCTATTCACAACAGCTTTGGACCATGTGACAAGCTGTGACCAATCACATCTCTCACAGTATTTCTCAATGGCTGCAAGAATGCAGCCAGAGAAGGAGAAATGATTGCTTTTACAGCCTTTATGGGTGTAAAAGCAATGTAAAAAAAAAAAAAAAAAACTTCATCACCCCCCCCCCCCCCAAGTAGTACACTGTCACCATGGTGACACTGTACTGCTAGGGTGACAGTATGTAAAAAAAAAAAAAAAAAAAAAGTTTAAAAATTATAATTTTGGTTATAAACTAATTTGAGTTATTTTTTGTTACTAAAAAGATAAAACGGAATAAATTTTGGCTAAGATTTATGATGAAATACTATTTATTTGAAAATTTTTATAAGAAAAAACACTTTTCTAAATTTTTGGACTTTTTCATTTATATAGCAAAAAAAATAAAAAATCCCAGTGGTGAATAAATACCACCAAAAAAGCTTTATCTGTCTCAAAAAAAAAGCTAAAAAAAATTCATATGGCTACAGTGTTGCATGACCGCGCAATTGTCAAAGTGTGATAGCGCTGAAAGCTGAAAATTGGCCTGGACAGGGAGGGGGTGAAAGTGTCTGGACTGGAAGTGGTTAAGTGTTGGTCTGGCCAGGAATATCGTGAACCGATAACGTCCTGTGCTCACCGCCTGTGCTGCACACACTGTTCACAACTATCTGTATGTGAACTACAGAACAGCTCCACCCCCCATGTTATGGATAAGAGAGTGGGAGATGTTCTGTAGTCCTGTCCCAGTGTGAAAACTGTGCTTCTTCATAGATAAAGTACAGTGAGTGAGCATGGTCATCCTAGGACAAGATATGTGTTACCGGCAGGATCACCAGGTGAAAATTAGGCCTGGTTCACTCTAATGCGATGCTAATTCGATCCGATTTCAGCCGCAATTTTGTAGTGCGAGTTTGATGACAGTTCTGTGCGTTTTTCATTCAATTTTGCCTACTCTGTTTTTGATGCAATTTTAGATACTACTACCCTGGGAGGCACTTGAGGGTTAAACAAAAATGAAACCGCTTTCAGAATTGCATACATGTGTAGTTTTGGTTCTTCTTTATTCAAGTGTATAGGGCACAAAAGTACCCTCTTCCAAAATTACACTGTACTCTGCTGCACTGAAAATAAATGTGACCTTCATTGTCATGCGATGCTCTGCAACTCACGCTGCATAACAAATCCCACTAGTGTGAACCAGACCGTAAAACTGAACACAGATAGGAAAATATCATCTAAATCCATTCATTATGTGGATTCTTCTTGAATCTCGGTGAGCTTTGTGTATTTCTTCCAGATCTGTGCAGCAATCCAGAGACTTCACCTCTGCACAGAAGCTTCCTGTTATAAAGACCACTCACTGCTACCTTCTCTATATGCACACAGTCTCTAGTCTTGTCTCCGCCCTCTCCTGTATTTTTCTGCAGGCAGCTTGCAGTGGGTGGAGCCTGCTTGGTTCCTCCCACAGCTCTGCACAAACTACATACAGTACAGTGATGATGTCATTGTAAATGCAAATATTACCTTGTAATATAACAAACACATTTGGTGCTCAGAAAATGGATTTATATCCTTTGTGGTTTTTAAATGAAAAGGTTTTTGTACTCAGTATACCTTTACAGTATGAATAAAAAAAAAAAGACAAACTAATGCAGCCACCACACCTGAGGACTGGAGAGCTGTAGGCCTCATGCACACAGAGCGCTTTTGCAGCCACTGCTTGTAAATGGCCCTCCATGTAATCCCTATGTGCCCATACACACATATACTTTTAGGAGCTTTTAGTGGCAGGAAAGTTTAGCAGCAGGAAAAAAAAAATGTAAAAAAAAAAAAAAAAAAAAAAAAAAAAAAACGCACAGCCAGTGCACATCCAGGAGCAGCAGCGTTTTGGCAGAAAAAAAAAACCTGACACATCTAAACGCGTGTTAACGCTAGGTGTGTTTAGCACTTGAGTGTTAATTTTAATGGCCAGAATAAATTACTATTCTAGCCAATTAAATGAATGCCCAAGCGTTATACAAGCGTCAGGCGTTTTTTCGGCAAAAATTCTGCAGCCAGGAGAAAAGCTTCTAGGTGAGTTTTTTTCTTTTTTTTTTTTTTTCTTTAAAATAACGTCTTCTGAGCATGAGGCCTTACAGTGATACTAAACCCCGGACCCCGCATTCACTCGATCCGCTCTTCCCGGGACCCCGCATTCACTCGATCCGCTCTTCCCGGGACCCCGCAGTCACTCGATCCGCTCTTCCCGGGACCCCGCAGTCACTCGATCCGCTCTTCCCGGGACCCCGCAGTCACTCGATCCGCTCTTCCCGGGACCCCGCAGTCACTCGATCCGCTCTTCCCGGGACCCCGCAGTCACTCTATCCGCTCTCCCGGGACCCCGCAGTCACTCTATCCGCTCTCCCGGGACCCCGCAGTCACTCTATCCGCTCTCCCGGGACCCGCATTCACTCTATCCGCTCTCCCGGGACCCCGCATTCACTCTATCCGCTCTCCCGGGACCCCGCATTCACTCTATCCGCTCTCCCGGGACCCCGCATTCACTCTACCCGCTCTTCCCGAACCCCGCATTCACTCTACCCGCTCTCCCGGGACCCCGCATTCACTCTATCCGCTCTCCCGGGACCCCGCATTCACTCTATCCGCTCTCCCGGGACCCCGCATTCACTCTATCCGCTCTCCCGGGACCCCGCATTCACTCTATCCGCTCTCCGGGGACCCCGCATTCACTCTATCCGCTCTCCCGGGACCCCGCATTCACTCTACCCGCTCTCCCGGGACCCCGCATTCACTCTATCCGCTCTCCCGGGACCCCGCATTCACTCTATCCGCTCTCCCGGGACCCCGCATTCACTCTATCCGCTCTCCCGGGACCCCGCATTCACTCTATCCGCTCTCCCGGGACCCCGCATTCACTCTATCCGCTCTCCCGGGACCCCGCATTCACTCTATCCGCTCTCCCGGGACCCCGCATTCACTCTATCCGCTCTCCCGGGACCCCGCATTCACTCTATCCGCTCTCCCGGGACCCCGCATTCACTCTATCCGCTCTCCCGGACCCCGCATTCACTATATCCGCTCTCCCCGGACCCCGCATTCACTATATCCGCTCTCCCCGGACCCCGCATTCACTATATCCGCTCTCCCCGGACCCCGCATTCACTATATCCGCTCTCCCCGGACCCCGCATTCACTATATCCGCTCTCCCCGGACCCCGCATTTATTATATCGCTCTCCCCGGACCCCGCATTCACTCTATCCACTCTTCCCGGACCCTGCATTCACTCTATCCGCTCTCCCCGGACCCTGCATTCACTCTATCCGCTCTCCCCGGACCCCGCATTCACTATATCCGCTCTCCCCGGACCCTGCATTCACTATCCGCTCTTCCCGGACCCTGCATTCACTCTATCCGCTCTTCCCGGACCCTGCATTCACATATCTGGTCTCCCCGGACCCTGCATTCACTATATCTGGTCTCCCCGGACCCTGCATTTTCTCATCATAAGTACATAGCAGTCTTGTGACTGCAGCAGAGCACTGGTTCAAGCTTGTAGGAGGAGTTTCCTTTCTACTCTAGGAGGATGTGGAAGTCCTGACCCTCTGCCTGGACAGTGCTGATCACATGCACTCTCCCAAGAAAAAAAAAAAAAACCTCTAGCAATACACACCAAACTGAGCATGTGCCTGCAGATTCAGTCTGTACCAGGTGGTCATTTCAACAAGGAGGGGCAGAGAAACAAAAAAAAAAAAAAAAAAACACAAAAAAAAAGAAGGATCAAACAGCCTTTTTACACAACGCAGAGGATTAACCCCTTAGGTTCCACAGTGAGTATAACAAGCATGCTTTACTGCATCTACAGACTGATTGTACTGTTGTGGGTTTAGTAACACTTTAATATAGTAAATATTATATCTTGGGTTTGGATACAATTGAATGAATGGAAGACCCCGAGGGGCGGTGATGTAGGCACTTACGATATAGTTTTCATCTCTTTCTTTTCTGCGTCGGGACGAGCGCGGTTCAGGACCTTTAGGAAGTCAGATGTCTTAGCTCTCATACGGGTGTGGATGTAAGCCTGGTAGAGAAGGAGTGCATGAGAAAAAAAACAGACCACGATGCAAGAAGAGATCACTAAACAATTTTAGTACTATGATACTTCATACTAGGATGCTGAGGGTCTGATACAGAGATCAGCCTTTCTGGCTCCTGAAAAAGCTGTATATAGAAATAGAAAAGAATGACCAAAAAAAAAAAGAAAAAAAAGACCAAGTTGTCCATTGAGTTTGTCTACCAGGTTTTTTTTTTTTTTTTTTTTTTTTTTTTAACCGTTGGCCGGGTATTATTTATTTATTTCAGGTAGTTATATAGCGCCATCAATGTACGCAGCGCTTTACATATATATTGTACATTCACATCAGTCCCTAACCCTCAAGGGGCGTACAATCTAAGGTCCCTAACCCTCAAGGGGTGTACAATCTAAGGTCCCTAACCCTCAAGGGGTGTACAATCTAAGGTCCCTAACTCACATTCATACATACACATACTAGGGACAATTTAGACAGGAGCCAATTCACCTACCAGCATGTCTTTGGAGTGTGGGAGGAAACCGGAGTATCCGGAGGCACCCACGCAGGCACAGGGAGAACATGCAAACTCCAGGCAGGTGGTGCCGTGGCTGGGATTCGAACCAACAACCTGAGTACTACCAGACGGAAGTGCTAACCATTTAGCCACTGTGCTGCCCAATATAGATCTAGGTTTATCCCCAAACATGTTTCAATTCACTGACTGTTGACTGACTCACTGCCTCTGTTCCAAATATCAATTCTAAGGTTACTTTTGTACTTTTCTGCAGCTAGTTGGAGGTCGTGTCCTCGTGTTCTTGATCATCGTTTCACATTGAAAAATAATCAGATAAAACTGCAAACGCGAATGTGCTGCCACCCACACAAAGTGAAAAAAACGAGAGACTGCAGCAAGCACCAAACAGTGTTCCCTCTCAGTAATTAATATTAAAAAAGAAAAAAAAAATGTTGCGCTACCACACACCAAAAAGGCTTTTCCTGAGGAAGTCACGTGGTTGTCACGCAACGCGTCGGAAGAAATGGAGGCCGGTGACGTCAATGCTGGTCCATATGTTTGATCTGTAATTGCTACCGGCTTATTGGGGTCTGTGGACCCGTAGTTCTATGCAAGTGCATTTGCTTGTGTGCCTTTCGTATTCCAATAAATGATTACACTATCGAAGGCATTTTTATTCATTTATTTTATTTCAGGTACTTATATATCGCCATCAATTTACGCAGCACTTTACATATATATTGTACATTCACATCAGTCCCCGCCCCCGAGGAGCGTACAATCTAAGGTCCCTAACCCTCAAGGGGTGTACAATCTAAGGTCCCTAACTCACATTCATACATACACATACTAGGGACAATTTAGACAGGAGACAATTCACCTACCAGCATGTCTTTGGAGTGTGGGAGGAAACCGGAGTACCCGGAGGAGACCCACGCAGGCACAGGGAGAACATGCAAACTCCAGGCAGGTGGTGCCATGGTTGGGATTTGAACCAGCGATACTAATACTGCCAGGCCAGGGTGGACGGGGAAGTGCTAACCATTTTAGCCACTGTGCACTTCCACCCTGGCAGTACTGCAGTTTTTAATGACAGGCAGGGGGTGGCACTGACCATTTGGAATCTCAGGCACTGCCTGAGGGCGCCGGGATCAGTAGGGGGCCCCATGAGATGCCCCTGGTACCTTTTTCATAGGCTTTTTTGAGTTTGGGCAAGGACACAGAGGCCCCATGATCCCCTAGTACCCGGAGGAAACCCACGCAGGCACAGGGAGAACATGCAAACTCCAGGCAGGTGGTGTCGTGGCTGGGATTCCTTTTTGAGTGTACGTCTCACCCTGGGCTGTGGAGGACTGTCAAAGGAAAGGAACACCTCCATGCACCGTTGTTGGATTGCCCCATCAGGCGATTATAGAGACCAGATGACCATTTAATTTGCAAGCGCTATTTGATCTGTTTGGGCCAAATTTTGAGGTGAGGGAGCAATTTATATGGTGGTGGCACATGAGGTGGATCCACTAACATTTATTCTGGCGCAGAAAGTTTGGAGCACCATTTAGTTGCATTCTGATTGGACTGTTTATTCACTGAACATTTTGTGGCACTGTATGGTTTTCAAAATCAGATAAAACAAATAATTCCTTCAATCACATTTATTCACTGAATTTTTTGGCGCTGGATGATTTAAAATTTCATGTACTGCTGTATTTTAGCAATTATTTATTTATTGCACATAACACTTTGGGGGGGTTAGGAGGTCTGTTAGGTATTTATTGTAGTTATTACTCACAGTTTACACGTGATAATTTAATAATTTATGTACGGCTTTATTTACTTTATGAATTATTTCATTTATTATTTACTTATGGCACTCAGCACTTTTGGGGGTTAGGAGGACTGTTGAGTGTTTATTGTTGATCTGTGAGTTGACCCTATTTCAATGGGTCATTATATGAAGATGGTTTGTTATTTAGTTTTTTGAGTGGTGTGTGGCAGCGTAACACTTTTTTTTTTTTTTTTTTTTTTTTTTAACTACTTGCCCTCCAGAGGATTTGCACCCCTTCCTTAGCAGGCCATTTTTTGGCGATACGGTGCTGCGTTACTTTAAAAACTTACAACTGCACAGTCATGCACCGCTGCACCAAAATGATCTTTTGCTATTAAACATGTCCAATAAATAAAAAAAAAAATTTAAAAAATCCAATTTAGGCCAAAATGTATTCTGCTCCATTTCTTTGCTAAAAAAAAAAAAAAAAAAATTCCAATGTGTATATTAATTTGTTTACGTAAAAGTTATAGCATTTACAAATGGCGGTACGGATATTGGAATTTTTTTTTTTTACTATTAACAGCGGCGTTCAGCGACTTATAGCGGGACTGCGGCGGGCATTCTGACACTGTGGGGAACGGATCTGGTGTCACTGACATCCCCAGTGGCACCAATACAGTGATCGGTGCTAATAAAAAGCACTTACACTGTACTAATGGCACTGGGCAGGAAGGAGTTAACATTTGGGGTGATCAAAGGGTTAACTGTGTGCTGTTTTACTACGTGGGCTGTGTCTCACTAAGAACACTGCTTTGTATGGCTCTGCTAAGCAGAACCATACAAAGCAGTGTACAGGAGCTAACAGGGGAGAGATCTGTTTAGTTTATACACAGGTCTCTCCCTCGTCAAAGATACTCAACGACCACCAGGTGCCACAGAGTAATCACCGGCCGGGACTTGCTGATTGACAGCCGATGCCGCGAATGGCAGCCGATGCCGCGAATGGCAGCGTGGGTAGGGTGAGCGTGCCCCTACCCGGAAATGCAAAGTCACGTGTGCACACACAATTTTGCGCACCCCTGCCGTCCTGTAGCAGTATTTCTGCTATAGGGCAGAGGGGAAGCGATTAATACTGAAAATATTGCCCTCCTGAACGTTATTCATGCCCTTCGTGTATTTAAAGCTTTCGGTTATTTGTCCATTTCCCTGCCTCTCTCTCGACTGCACATATAAATTACCCGAGTGATCAAAACCGGCAATGGGGTAACCGCTACTCACTCCAGTGCTGCTTTAGACTGACACCCAGTTTAAGTATCTTCTGCAGGTCCAGGCAGCGGTGCTTCTGCATTCTCTTTACATCAGGGAAGTAGTGATGTCATGTCACTCCCATTCACTGCAGGGTCCAGGACAGCACTATTCTAGCTTTTCTGCAGCTACAGATCCCTGCTATAGTAATCTATTGTTGGCAAATCTGCAGCCTGGATGGGTTGAATTTTGGTCCCCAATGATCAGATTCAGACTCCCCAATTAAAAAAAAAAAAAAAAATATTGTATGTTCTTCCCTCCTTTTATTGGACTCCGGGTTCCAACAATGACATCGGATGATCTGGATGGCATTTTCATTCACTGAGCAAGCATGCAATGCTGCTCATGTAAATAAAATGCAACGTTCCAGTTTTTAGCAATTGCAAACCTATGAAAAAGTCACCGCTGTGCTAATCTGTGCCCTTGACAATCCAACATGATCTTATATTACCCTAACATTTTATGCGAAATGTATTTTCCCTGCGTGCAGAATGTAAAATCAAAAAGGGACTAAAGCTCTCCTAAAGTAAAAAACAAAAAAGTAAAAAGCCCATGGTCAGGAGGGTAAGTTAAAGCAGAACGTCATCTGAAAAGCGAAGTCCCGCTTTAATCTTCTCTCTAACTTTTGGAGGTTTTTTGTTTTGTTTTTTTTGTTTTTTTTAAAGGAACAGGTACCTAATTCTGACAGGTATCTGCACCCACTTGGATCCCTGCAGAAGCACTTTTTGTTTTGTTTCTAAGTTCCTGCAGTTTCTCCTGATATAAGCAGAACTGGATCTCCTTCCTCCTGCTGGTGAGCTCTCCAGCGATAACTAAAGCTCTACATTGTGGAATCAACCACCTTCTTCCTGTTGCTGATCCTTCCAGTTATAACAAAGAATCTACATTGGGATATCAGGACCTCCTTCCTCCTGTTGCTGATCCTTCCAGTTATTACATAGGATCTACATTGGGACCTCCTTCCTCCTGTTGCTGATCCCTCTAGTTATAACAAAGGATCTACATTGGGAATCGGGACCTCCTTCCTCCTGTTGCTGATCCTTCCAGTTATAAGAAAGTATCTACATTGGGGAATCAGAACCTCCTTCCTCCCGTTGCTGATCCTTCGTTATAACAAAGGATCTACATTGGGGAATCAGAACCACCTTCCTTCTGTTGCTGATCCTTCCAGTTATTACATAGGATCTACATTGGGAATTGGGACGTCCTTCCTCCTGTTGCTGATCCTTCGTTATAACAAAGGATCTACATTGGGGAATCAGGACCTCCTTCCTCCCGTTGCTGATCCTTCCAGTTATAACAAAGGATCTACATTGGGAATCAGGACCTCCTTCCTCCTGTTGCTGATCCTTCCAGTTATTACATAGGATCTACATTGGGAATTGGGACCTCCTTCCTCCTGTTGCTGATCCTTCCAGTTATAACAAAGGATCTTCATTGGGAATCAGGACCTCACTGTCAAGGTCCTACCTTTTCCCTGAGGTTATGTTACTCCATGTGCTGGCGTCCATCTTGGATTCTGCTGTGCATGATGGGTATCCTTTTTATGTCTTTAGGTCTCTGAGGTCCACCCCCCAGAGGGGCGTGGCTGATGACATATAAGCCTGTGGCCCGCACATGCTCTTGGCACTTGTGTAATGTCAGGGCAGGAGCTGAGGAACGGACAGGCAGGCCTAACAACACAACGCACTGGCTGACGACAACCACCACCCACAGACCGAAGTCCCCCAGGGCGCGGAGTCTAAGTCCCAGGCTGACTATTCTCTGTATTCTCCTTTGATCTGACCCTCTGTTGCTGAACCCGGCTTGTGACCTGTGATTCTCGTCTGCTGTCCTGTACTGTTTTGTCCTGTTGTTGTTGACCCCGGCTTGTCTGACTACTCTTTTGTTTCTTCCACCAGCTACACGCCATTGGCGGCGGCCATTACCGCAGCTGAGGTGTCTCGGGGGCCGCGACCTGGTTCCTGGCTGCGTCAAGTCCATCCCCACCATCAGGGGCCCTGGTGAAGGGCAGCCTGGGACTTAGACTCCGCGCCCTGGGGGACTTCGGTCTGTGGGTGGTGGTTGTCGTCAGCCAGTGCGTTACATTGTTAGGCCTGCCTGTCCGTTCCTCAGCTCCTGCCCTGACACTCCTTCCTCCTGTTGCTGATCCTTCCAGTTATAACAAAGGATCTGCATTGGGAATCAGGACCTCCTTCCTCCTGTTCCTAATCCTTTCAGTCATAACAAAAGATCCATATAGAGGAATCAGGACCTCCTGCTGCGGATTCTTCTAGTGACAAATGAAGATCTATATACAGGAATCAGGATCTCCTTTTTCCTGCTGTTAGACATCCTTTAGAGACAGGCATTCTCTAAAAAGTATGCAGAATTCTAGAGTAAACACCCCAGACAGGACTTCCAATGTGCACATTTTGAAAAATAAAGCTTTATGAAAATCAGCGTGCAAACTCAAGAGTGATGAGAAAGAAGAGCTAACCACAGTAATATACATATATTATATACAGTGCATCCAGAAAGTGTTCCCAGCACTTAACTTTTGCCACATTTTGTTATGTTACAGCCTTATTCCAAAATGATTTAAATTCATCTTTCTCGTCAACATTCTACAAACAATACCCCATAATGACAACGTGAAAGAAGTTTGTTTTGAAATCTTTGCAATTTATTAAAAAAAAAAAAACCAAAAAAAACCAAATACCCAAAAAACACATGTACATAGGTTTTCACAGCCTTTGCCACGACACTCAAGATTGAGCTCTGGTGCATCCTGTTCCCACTGATCATCCTTGAGATGTTTCCAAAAGTTGATTGGAGTCCACTTGTGGGAAATTCGGTTGATTGGACATGATTATGAAAGGCATAAACCTGTCTATAGAAGGTCCCACAGTTACCAGTGCATGTCGGAGCACAAACCAAGCCATGAAGTCCAAGGAATTGTCCGTAGACCTCCGAGACAGGATTGTATCAAGGCACAGATCTGGGGAAGGGTAGAGAAACATTTCTGCAGCATTGAAGGTTCCCAATGAGCACAGTGGCCTCCATCATCCGTAAATGGAAGATGTTTGGAACCACCAGGAATCTTCCTAGAGCAGGTCACCCGGCCAAAATGAGCAAATTGAGGGAGAAGGGCCTTCGCCAGGGAGGTAACAGAGCACCCGATGGGTCACTCTGAAAGAGCTCCAGCGTTTCTCTGTGGAGAGAGGAGAACCTTCCAGAAGAACAACCATCTCTAAAGCATTCCACCAATCAGGCCTCTATGGTAGAGTGGTCAGACAGAAGCCACTCCTCAGTAAAAGGCAAATGGCAGCCCGCCTGAAGTTTGCCAAAACTCATCTGAGGGACTCTCAGACCTTGAGAAACAAACTCTCTGGTCTGATGAAACAAAGATTGAACTCTTTGGCCTGAATGCCAAGTGTAATGTCTGGAGAAAACCAGGCACCACTTACCACCTGGCCAATACCATCCCTACAGTGAAGCATGGTGGTGGCAGCATCATGCCGTGGGGATTTTTTTCAGCGGCAGGAACTGGGAGACTAGTCAGGATCGAAGGAAAGATGAATGCAACAATGTACAGAGACATCCTTGATGAAAACCTGTTCCAGAGCGCTCTGGACCTTAGACTAGGGAGACGGTTCATCTTTCAACAGGACAATGACCCTAAGCACACATAATACAGGAGTGGCTACGGGCCAACTGTGTGAATATGCCCTGGAGTGGCCCAGCCAGAGCCCAGACTTGAACCCGATTGAACATCTCTGGAGAGATCTGAAAATGGCTGTGCACCCATACTCCCCATCCAACCTGATGGAGCTTGAGAGGTACTGCAAAGAAGAATGGGAGAAATTGCCCAGAAATAGGTGTGCCAAGCTTGTAGCATCATACTCAAAACGACTTGAGGTTTGAATTGGTGCTAAAGGGGCTTCAACAAAGTATTGAGCAAAGGCTGGGAATACTTATGTACATGTGTTTTTTTTTTTTCATTTTTTATTTTTTAATAAATTGCAAAGATTTCAAAACGAACATCTTTCACGTTGTCATTATGGGATATTGTTTGTAGAATGTTGAGGGAAAAAAAATTAATTTAATCCATTTTGGAATAAGGCTGTAACATAAGAAAATGTGGCACAAGTTAAGTGCTGTGAATACTTTCTGGATGCGCTGTATGTGACCTACTTGTGCAGAGCTCCCATTTAAAGTACAAGCTATTGTTTGAAACTGAAAAAAGCTTTTATAAAAAAAGACTAATGTCTCAATAATACTCAGTGAGAATAAAGCCTGAATGTTAGTTTATGACAAAAAAAAAAAAAAAAAAAAGGAACATGTGCACTTTATTGTAAATCTGATACCTGTACGTCAGAGGCAGTTTTTGATTGCTTACCTTGGAGCACTTGATGTGGTAATGCAGGTAGTCCCGGAATGTGTGAATGAGATTGATGGTGTTGTCCCTTGCATTGGCATTGGTGTGACGAGGAAAGAGCACTGAGGAGGCGGAAACAAGAATTGTTAGGAGTACTGCTTTTATTTTGTCTTTGGTTCCTCCCTCCAACTCCATCATACTAGTGAAACCATTAAATAAAACTCTGCGCTTCTCTATGTAATGTGGGCAGATCATGGCTGGTGGGAGGGGCCAGCAGGGTGCTGTACACAAGTTTCCAGAAAACATCACAGCACCTTTCCTCAGAGCCCTGAGGTTAGCGGGCTGGCTCTAGGGAGGAGTTATGCAAAAATGTATGTCTTGATGGGTGGATGTCAGTCTAGAGCTGCCTTTCTCAACCAGGGTGCCCAGGAACCCTGGGGTGCCTTGAGGTGTCTTCAGGGGTGCCTTGACAAAATGTCTAAAAATTTACCAAAACTTGTATACAAGCAAGAAGGTGGAACAAGCCTGCCTTTTAGTTACACAAAGCCACAGGTTTTCATTACGCACCATAACGACCTTCTAGCCGCCAGAATCCTGACAACCAATGACATCATCCCTTGATAAGGAAAATGTCAGCTGCCTGCACAGCATCCTAGTTTGACCCTCCCCCGCCCCTCTCCATCAGCACTGGGGTCATATTAGCTCAGTAATGGAGAAAAACCTGAGGGAGAAGAGAAACAATGGAATACTAGTCAGTATCAGTGTGCAAAAGTGTATTTGGTTTGGAAGAATAAATCCCCTCTAATGTTGGGTGTCCTACATCTGTGGATGTTGCAGAGTTATATAAAACTATTAGAATAGTTTTTCACATTTTGGAATGGTGTGCCCTTAAAAAATTATGGACAGTCTTGAGGCACCCCAATCTTAAAGGGTGCCTCGGGGCTGGCCCCAATCTTAAAGGGTGCCTCGGGGCTGGCCCAATTTTCAATTTAAAGGGTGCCTCGGGGCTGGCCCCAATCTTAAAGGGTGCCTCGGGGCTGGCCCCAATCTTAAAGGGTGCCTCGGGGCTGGCCCCAATCTTAAAGGGTGCCTCGGGGCTGGCCCCAATTTTAAAGGGTGCCTCGGGGCTGTCCCTAATTTTAAAGGGTGCCTCGGGGCTGTCCCTAATTTTAAAGGGTGCCTCGGGGCTGTCCATAATTTTAAAGGGTGCCTCGGGGCTGTCCATAATTTTAAAGGGTGCCTTGACAAAAAAAAGGCTGAGAAACACTGGTCTAGAATGTTCCAAGGCAAAGTGTATTTGCATGAAGACCACCCTAGGTATCACCCACATGTAATCCTGAGCCAACATGATTGAAGGAACTGAAATCCAATGAATGAAAGAGGAGGGACAGGGTCAGTCATGCTGGGTAGGAAAGGGCTAAATCATGATGGATGTCACCCAAGCAAGGAAATGAGGTGGGCTCTGACTTCCAATAGACACTGTAAGAATCTTTCCAAGATTACAATACAGCACCTTGACATCACCAGAACCTTCAGGAACAATCCAAAAGTCGAGGCTCTAGGGTTGACTTTTAGGCTTTACTGTTTATTTGGAGGTTTCCTCATTTTCATGTAAGGTCTGCTTAGTATTTTGGGTAAAGACTTATACAGATCTTTTTTGCTATGTCCTCCTATGTGAAATAGAAGATGCCACCTTCTAGGACTCACCAGGTGAAGGTGGCGTGTACTTACCAAATGTGATATAACCGATGTTGTCGCCCACTGCTGCGTCTGTGTCCTTTAGTTCCAGAGGAGGCTCTCGATGGCTGAACAAGACCTGAGGTGCTGTGTGACTGGCGCGGCGCCCTTCCTTAAACTCCTAGCAAAAAGGACAAATCAACAAGATGTCAGAGATGGAGGAATCCCACTTTGTTTATAGGGGGAATTACTGGAAATATGCCCGACTTATACAAGCACACTTACCTGCATGAATACTTTTCCTATCACCACATCGTCGTCATCCTTGAACACTGTGCTAAACACCACAGTCACCCGGTCCTTCTTGGCTTCCACATACCTGTTCAATGTTTCAACACATGATTAGAGTCAGAGACTCACATTTAAAGAGTCACCAATCCCATATGTCAGGATTCCCAGCCTTGTTAGCATGCTGTTAGCAAAATGAGGGCTCCCCCCCCACTGTTTTCTTACCTAGCATTCAGGGAGAGGTGAGACTACATAACAAGTATTGCCTAATATTTGTGCCCTTTAATCAGTGATAATATCAAATAGAAAGACTTGAAATTAAGCTTGTGCTGGAAGAGGGGATGCCGAGCGGCTGAGACCTCGCTGGGAGGGGGGGGGAGCTGAGCCCTTTGCTGGGAGCGCAGGGGGTTTAGGGGGTGGAGCCGAACGGCTGAGTCTTTGCCGGGAGCGCGGAGACAAAAAGCGGAGTCCTCAAAGGGAGCGCGGGGGGGTATAGCCGAACGGCTGAGTCCTTACTGGGAGGGTGGGTAGGGAGGGAAAGTGTCATGCGGCTGAGTCCTCGCTTTACTGGGGGGGAAACTGAGTGGCTGAGTCTTTGTTGAGAGAGGGGATGCCGAGTGGCTGAGATCTCGCTGGGAGGGGGGAGCTGAGCCCTTGCTGGGAGCACAGGGGCTTGGGGGGGGGGGTTAAGGGGGTGGAGCCGAACAGCTTAGTCCTCGCTGGGAGCATGGGGGGGGGGGGAGGAGCTCAATGGCTGAGTGCTTGCTGGGGGGGGGTAGGGAGTGGGGGGGGGGGGGGGGGGCTGGTTGGAAACCGAGTGGCTGGGTCTTTGTTGAGAGACGGGATGCCGAGTGGCTGAGACCTCGCAGGGAGGGGGGGGCTGAGCCCTTGCTGGGAGCGCAGGAGGTTTGGGGGGGGGGGGGGGGGGGTAGGGAGGGAAAGTGTCATGTGGCTGAGTCCTCGGTTTACTGGGGGGGGGGACCAAGTGGCTGAGTCTTTGTTGAGAGAGGGGATGCTGAACGGCTGAGACCTCGGTGGGAGGGGGGTAATGGAGGGGGCTAAGATCTTGCTGGGACCACAGGGGGTTTGGGGGGGAGGGGTTAAGGGGGTGGAGCCGAACAGCTTAGTCCTTGCTGGTAGCATGGGGGGGGAAGCCGAACGGCTGAGTCCTTGCTGGGAACGCAGGGGTGTTGGTGGTGGGTTTTGATAGCTGAATGGCCGAGATCTCACTAGGAGGGGGGTTAAGGGGGCGGAGCCAACCAGCTGAGTCCTCGCTGGGGGGGGGGGGGCCTTGGTGTAGGAAGGGAGAGTGTCCTCACTTTACTGGGGGGGGGGGGGGGGGAACTGAGTGGCTGAGTCTTTGTTGATCCTTTATCTTTTTTTTTTTGGGGGGGGGGGGGGGGGGGGGGGGGGGTTGGCACTTTGAGGGGAATAAAAGGCTTTTAAACCCACTTTTATTTGGGTTGCAGAAGAAAAACACTCTTACTCCAAGAATATTCTATATGGAGTAATGGTCTCCTGGGCAGATCTCCTTCATCCCTCCAATTAAAGTTTCCTGTCTGACGTATAAGGAGGCTGGATGATATTTTGACACAGGGAGGAGATGAACGCTCTCCACTAAAAGAAGGTGGTTTAAAAACCGTATAAATTAAGCAAATATATAATAATAGTAAAATATAATCTTAACCCACACCCTCCCATTCCTTGCAGAGCGACCTCCATGGTTTCATCCTGTATGCATTGGGCACAATGTATGATGGGAGGAGTGAAGTGCGAGCAGAGAAAAGCGGATTAGACTTACATGGTCTCGTCTTCCCGGTAGTGAATGACGGCTCTCTTTTCCCCATCTCTTCCCTCTTCCTGAAACCTGAAGTACTTCTCAAACACGGAGGCAAAGCAGTTTCTCTTTAGCATGCCGGCCTGGTGGATAACGGAGTCTCGGTTTTGAGGCAACGACTCCAAATCATACAGCAAAGATACATTGTAACCTGCACAGAAAACAGTTTCATCTCTTTACCATCGTGTCAGGTGTCATTGACGCAGCACAAAGAGCAATGGAAAGGTGTAGAGGGGACCAACAATGAGAGACAACTGCCAATTGGTTACTTTGCATTACTAACTCAAGTAGTATGAGTACTGCCATTGTTGGCCTCACTCTGAAAATGCTAGTAGCCTGGCTGTCACTGAATTAAAGCGGAGTTCCAGCCTTTTTTTTTTTTTTTTTTTACTCCCTTGAAAGACAATGGTCTCCCTCTTCACAGTCCATGTTGGCAATATATATGTAGATATTTTTTCCCTAAATACCTTTTATTGGTAATTTTTGTCTCCACTTCCGGTCCCAGCCGCCGAGGTGATTACATCATCAGGCATTCCCTAGGGCTTCTGGGATATTGGCGTCATCTATCCCAGCAGTCCTAGGTACCTGATAGCAAAATCTTGCGTTATGAGACCGGAAGAGATGCGGTCGCTGGGATTTCTTCACACTACGCAGGTGCGAGATCGCCCCCTTCTTCGCGCCGCCCAGGTGCGAGATCGCCCCCTTCTTCGCGCCGCCCAGGTGCGAGATCGCCCCCTTCTTCGCGCCGCCCAGGTGCGAGATCGCCCCCTTCTTCGCGCCGCCCAGGTGCGAGATCGCCCCCTTCTTCGCGCCGCCCAGGTGCGAGATCGCCCCCTTCTTCGCGCCGCCCAGGTGCGAGATCGCCCCCTCCTTCACACTGCGCAGGTGCGAGATCGCCCCCTCCTTCACACTGCGCAGCTGCGAGATCGCCCCCTTCTTCACACTGCCCAGGTGCGAGATTGCCCCTCCTTCACACCGCGCAGGTGCGAGATCGCTCCTCCTTCACACTGCGCAGGTGCGAGATCGCTCCTCCTTCACACCGCGCAGGTGCGAGATCGCTCCTCCTTCACACTGCGCAGGTGCGAGATCGCTCCTCCTTCACACCGCGCAGGTGCGAGATCGCCCCCTTCTTCACACTGCCCAGGTGCGAGATCGCTCCTCCTTCACACTGCGCAGCTGCGAGATCGCCCCCTTCTTCACACTGCCCAGGTGCGAGATTGCCCCTCCTTCACACCGCGCAGGTGCGAGATCGCTCCTCCTTCACACTGCGCAGGTGCGAGATCGCTCCTCCTTCACACCGCGCAGGTGCGAGATCGCTCCTCCTTCACACTGCGCAGGTGCGAGATCGCTCCTCCTTCACACCGCGCAGGTGCGAGATCGCCCCCTTCTTCACACTGCCCAGGTGCGAGATCGCTCCTCCTTTACACTGCGCAGGTGCGAAAAAAAAAAACGGGAAGTGCATGCTGGGTAGCCAGCTGCACAATTTCCCGGAAGAATGCCTGAGCAAGCTTCAGGTGCCCACACTTAAGATGGCAGCGTTAACAATATGAGGGTGCAGTAAGTACATTTATTTTTTTATAAGGAAAGCAAAAGGATTACAAGTACAGGTGATCTCAACTTGCATTGCCTAAGCTGCCACTCTCACGTGGGTGCCTTTAGAAAAAAAATAATTAAACAGCTGGGACTCCGCTTTAAGTACTTTTAAAAGTCACAGACTTGAACAAGCAATCTTCCTGTTTCTGGCAAAATACAAAACAATCAGAAAAAAAAAAAAAAAAAAAGGGAAAGGGAGGGTACTTGACTAAGGCTACTTTCTCACTATTCCTTTGCAAAAAATAATAAAAAAAAAAAAAAAAAAAAAAAAAACCACACCCCACATGCATTTAAATTAAAAAAAAAAAAAAAGGGGGACTCGTGACTCAAGAAACGCACCATAACCAACAGCATTGTGTTTTTGATGCATTTTCCATAGATTTCAATGAGGATTGAAATGGACACCTAACTGACCAGTGTAAAGAGTTCCATAGGAACTCAGTCATGCATTTTTCTTCCAGAAGAAACAACTGATCAGTGTGAAAGCAGCTTTAGAAGCACTAAAACAGCTTTGATTTTTTTCCTATCAAGTCAACTGCAACATAAAATTTTGAAGCAAATTTAGATTTTTTTTTTTTTTTACGACACGACAGGAGATCAGTCTGTCTTCAGGTTGACACCTTTGTGGGAGATCCACTCCCTCTTAGACCTGGTTGACTGAGAATTCAAGTTTAGTGGTTTTTTTTATAAAATCAGCACCAGGGACAGTACTTACATAAAATGAATACTGCCCCTTGTGCCGGTGGCTGCCGTGTTCCTCGAAATCTTCATTCCTCTGCCCCAGGTACCCCGCCCAGCGGTGATTGTAGGATGCTGCAGGGGTACCCAGAGCCGGAAGAATAAAGATTCAGGAAACACAGCAACCACCAGCACAGTTGTATGAGTCTGCCACGGCCATTTGTCAAATGTGCCAATTATACCCTCTCTTGACACCCTCCTCCTCCATTCACAGAAGCCGTACTATTGCTTCCCACAGTGAAAAGTGCTCTATGAATGGAGGAGGCAGATCTGTCATTCATTCAGATTGCTTTTCGTTGTGGGAACTGATAGCACAGCTTCTATGAACGTAGGCAGAATCTGTCATTCATTCACCCATCCTCCATTCACAGAGTGCTTTTCGTTGTGGGAACTGATAGCACAGCTTCTATGAACGGAGGCAGATCTGTCATTCATTCACCCATCCTCCATTCACAGAGTGCTTTTCGTTGTGGGAACTGATAGCACAGCTTCTATGAATGGAGGCAGATCTGTCATTCATTCACACCATCCTCCATTCACAGAGTGCTTTTCGTTGTGGGAACTGATAGCACAGCTTCTATGAATGGAGGCAGATCTGTCATTCATTCATTCACCCATCCTCCATTCACAGAGTGCTTTTCGTTGTGGGAACTGATAGCATAGCTTCCATGAACAGAGGAACAGAGGAGGGGTGGAAAGGTGTGTATGATTAGCACCTATGACAAGTGCCTTTGACAGGTGCAGCCACTTGTATCAATCCCCGCCCAGCAGCATCAGAAGATTACCATTGCAGGGGTAGTGGGGGGCAGAGGAGTGCAGATTTGATTCTCGGGGAGCAGAGGACTGAAGGAACACAACAACCACATGGGGCACGCTTCATTCATGTAAATATTAGTACCGATTAAAAAAAAAAAAAAATTTTTTTTTTAAAAATCCCTAAACATCAGCTTTAAAGTTTTGGACAGAGTAAAGGAAGCTAGCAAGGGTTCTAACTCACTCCTACTCCTTACCATTATTATCAAAAAGTGAAAGTAAAGTAGCCTCCAAATTTTGGGCTGTCCCTAGAAAAGTAGGAGAGGCAAAATCTTCCAATGGGATACTAGTTCTGGTGACCTGGGGACCAATGGATTCCTTTCATTTGCTGAGATTATCGCTCTATTACGGTTTTAGCTATGGGACAAGAAGTGAAGGGAAATCTCCCCAATAGGACATAGATGGCAAAAACGCCCTTACTTTATCTAAAATTTAAAAAAAAAAAAAAAAAAAAAAAAAAAAAAAAAAAAAAAGGGGGGGGGTTTGTCTAAGGTTCCGCTTTAAACCTTGTAGCATCAGGTAGACGAACACAGACTTTAAATATATTAAGTTGGGCATTTAAAATGTAGAAAAGGACAGGAAAATATAGATCATATAACAGAAAAGAAGATGAAAATCCACACCTGATTCTGGAGCAACAAGGTAATTTCCATACGAGTTCTTCAGGACCTGTCAAAAGGAAGATCAGAGCAGCATAAGAAATGGTTCTATTGTTTACCCCTACCCACCCGGTAGTGCCTTCCCTAGACCCTAACGCCGGAAAGCAGGACGGACCTTGTGATCACAGTGAGTGCGCAAGGCCTTGTTCACATTATACATGCAGAAAAACGTGCAGAAAACGTATGGGGGGGGGGGGGGGGGGGGGGGGGGGGGGGACCAAAAAAAAAAAAAAAGGACAGAATCCACTTGCAGAGACAGAGTTTACATCAGTTTTCAGTGAGTTTTATACACATGGCAGATTCCTGCGCAGAATAAAAAAAAAAATCTGCATATGATACTAGTGTTGTGGTATGAACAGGGCACATAGAAAACAATTGTTTTTTTGTGCCCTTGCAGAATGCATGCAGAAAAAGTCACATCTCTGCACCGTGGTGTGAACGAAGCCCAATACAGTGGTCACATGACCTGATACCCATCCGCTGGCTCCTGATCATAAACAGACTGGGAGCAGCCTGTGACAGCTCAGTCACCATGTTGGAAGCACACAGTGAGCGCATGTTGTTGTTGAGGCACACCTGTACGGCTGCCACACATATACATTGCATGGTCAGTAAGATATTAAATCGCTTATTTCTAAACACATATACGGTACTGTATGATAATCTATATACTTTATATATTTTTTATTTATATTACAGAGAAAATTATACAGTCATGGCCGAAATTGTTGGCACCCTTGATATTTCTCCAGGAAATCATGTATTTCTCACGAAACGTATTGCATTAACACATGTTTTGCTATAACACATGTTTATTCCCTTTGTGTGTATTGGGACAAAAACAAAAAAAGGGAGGAAAGAAAGCAAATTCGACATAATGTCACACAAACCTCCAAAAAAATGGGCTGGACAAAAGTATTGGCACCCTTTCACAACTGCGGATAAATAAGAATGTTACAAGCATGTGATGCTCCTGTAAACTCACCTGGGGCAAGTAACAGGTGTGGGCAATATAGAAATCACACCTGAAAGCAGATAAAAAGGAGAGACGTTCACTTAACCTTTGCATTGTGTGTCTGTCTGTGCCACACTAAGCATGGACAACAGAAAGAGGACGGAGAGACTGTCTGAGGACCTGAGAACCAAAATTGTGGCAAAATATCAACAATCTCAAGGTTACAAGTCCATCTCCAGAGAACTAGATTTGCCTTTGTCCACAGTGCGCAACATTATCAAGAAGTTTGCAACCCATGGCACTGTAGCTAATCTCCCTGGTCGTGGACGGATGAGGAAAATTGATGAAAGATTGCAATGCAGAATAGTCCGGGATGGTGGATAAGCAGCCCCAAACATGTTCCAAAGACATTCAAGCTGTCCTGCAGGCTCAGGGAGCTTCAGTGTCAGCGCGAACTATCCGTCGACATTTAAATGAAATGAAACGCTATGGCAGGAGACCCAGGAGGACCCCACTGCTGACACAGAGACATAAAAAAGCAAGACTACAGTTTGCCAAAATGTACTTGAGTAAGCCAAAAGCCTTTTGGGAAAACGTCTTGTGGACAGATGAGACCAAGATAGAGCTTTTCGGTAAAGCACATCATTCTACTGTTTACCGAAAACGGAATGAGGCCTACAAAGAACAAAAAACAGTACCTACGGTAAAATATGGTGGAGGTTCAATGATGTTTTGGGGTTGTTTTGCTGCCTCTGGCACTGGGTGCCTTGACTGTGTGCAAGGCATCATGAAATCTGAGGATTACCAAAGGATTTTGGGTCGCACTGTAGGGCCCAGTGTCAGAAAGCTGGGTTTGCGTCCAAGATCCTGGGTCTTCCAGCAGGACAATGACCCCAAACATACGTCAAAAAGCACTCAGAAATGGATGGCAAAGAAGCGCTGGAGAGTTCTGAAGTGGTCCAGCAATGAGCCCAGATCTAAATCCCATTGAACACCTGTGGAGAGATCTTAAAATTGCTGTTGGGAAAAGGTTGTCCTTCCAATAAGAGAGACCTGGAGCTGTTTGCAAAGGAAGAGTGGTCCAAAATTCCGGGTGAGAGGTGTCAGAAGCTTATTGATGGTTATAGGAAGCGACTGATTTCAGTTTTGTTTTCCAAAGGGTGTGCAACCAAATATTAAGTTAAGGGTGCCAATACTTTTGTCCAGCCCATTTTTGGGGTTTTGTGTGACATTATGTCATATTTGCTTTTCTGCCTCTGTTTTATATTTGTTCCAATACATACAAAGGGAATAAACATGTGTATAGCAAAAACATGTGTTAATGCAATACCTTTTTTTGTGTGAAATACTTGATTTTCAGGAAAAATATCAAGGGTGCCAACAATTTCGGCCATGACTGTATATATATATATTTTTTTTTAATTATACATCATCTTTGTAATATGTTAGATGTTGAACAGCTCCCCAAAATAGACTCTTTTTCTCTTAGGCACACTATTAGGAACGCTCTGTAGAGATTTCATTGAGTCCGTACACTGGCTGTGCCCATTATGAAGGTATCCCACTGTCCCTGTGTCAAGTTCCCAGGTCTGAACACCCTGCTGTACCCATGATGAGGGGTTCCCACCATCCCTGTGCGGAGTTCCTGGATCTACACACCTGCTTTACCCATGAGGGGTTCCCACCATCCCTGTGCTGGTTTCCCGGGTCTGTACACTTGCTGTACCCATTATGAGGTATTCCCACCATCCCTGTGCTGGGTTCCCAGGTCTGTACACTTGCTGTACCCATTATGAGGAGTTCCCGGGTCTGTACAGTTGCTGTACCCATTATGAGGTGTTCCCACCATCCCTGTGCCGGGTTCCCGGGTCTGTACACTTGCTGTACCCATTATAAGGGGTTCCCACCATGCCTGTACCGGGTTCCCGGGTCTGTACACTTGCTGTACCCATTATGAGGGGTTCCCCCACCATCCCTGGGCCAAGTCCCCGGGTCTGTACACTTGCTGTACCCATTATGAGGGGTTCCCACCATCCCTGTGCTGCGCTCCCAGGTCTGTACACCCTGCTGTGCCCATTACGAGGAGCTCTCACCATCCCTGCTGGATTTGTATTCAGTGTATAGCACAGAGAATGTAACAGGAGAGCTGGAACATGCAAAGGTTAGCAGGAACACCCAAAAGTCCTGAATGAACAGAGCCAAGCCTTGTGGCAGGGAGATCTCACTGTTGAATATTCTAAACATACAAGAGATGATGGGGACTCATTCAGACCACTAGCCGCCTCCACCTATAACTAAATATCTCTTTTGCGTGGACTAACATAACAAAACAAAATAATATGTGTGAGAACATCAAACTGTTTACACCAGGACTATGAAAGACAAGAAAAAAGGGGGAGGACAAGAAAAGGGAGGAGAAGAAAAAGAAAAGACAAGAAAAGGGAGGAGAAGAAAAAGAAAAGACAAGAAAAGGGAGGAGAAGAAAAAGAAAAGACAAGAAAAGGGAGGAGAAGAAAAAGAAAAGACAAGAAAAGGGAGGAGAAGAAAAAGAAAAGAAAAGAAAAGGGAGGAGAAGAAAAAGAAAAGAAAAGAAAAGGGAGGAGAAGGAAAAGAAAAGAAAAGAAAAGGGAGGAGGAGAAGAAGAAAAAGAAAAGGAGGGAGAGAAGAAGAAAAAGAAAAGGGAGGAGAAGAAAAAGAGAAGGAAGAAAGAAAAGAAAAGAGAAGAAGAAAAGAAAAGAAAAGAAAAGAAAAGAAAAGAAAAGGGAGGAGAAGAAAAGAAAAGGGAGGAGAAGAAAAGAAAAGGGAGGAGAAGAAAAGAAAAGGGAGGAGAAGAGAAGAAAAGGGAGGAGAAAGAGAAGAAAAGAGAAGAAAAGAAAAAAAAAGAAAAGAAAAGAAGAAGAATTGACAAAGGCAAAGCCTGCTTCTGGAAGTAATAAAATCGGAAACACGGGCCAGTAATTCTTCTTTTATTAAGGCGCTATTGCCGCTTCCTTGTTGCAGGAGTGAAGGACGGGACGCTGCGAGTGCTGCACGATCCAGTGGGCTGCGCTCTGCGGGGTGGCGGGATTCATGGTCAAACAATCGGCTCAGTGTTCTGCTATGGAGAATCCCAGCAGCGTTTGGGCTGAGTAGGAGATCTGCATGTGTTACAGGCCGGCTCGGGGCTGTGACTCCGGAAGTCTGACACTTCCTGCTCTGACCGCACTGCTGCGTGTGCACACATTGCTGGAGACAAAGCTCTGCTTCTTCCATAAAAGGCTCCGCGCCTTCCCTTACACGTGCTGAACCCAGCCCTGCCACAATGTGACACTGAATGAACGCAATGCACATGTGCAGAGCCCCAGCTCCAGCCAAGACACACAAAAATAAGTGCCGCCCATAACCAGATTCTAATTGCTGCTACTTGTGCACAGATTTGGAATGGTAAACCTAAAATTAAAAACTGCATATAAACTCCTCACCGCATCCCCCCCCCCCCCTCAACAACATGCTAATGAAATTAGTAAACAAAAGCTGTCCATATTACATAACTAATGTTAGACCCAGGGACATCATCACTAAGTCTCTGTGTTATTCTATGAAATGCAGGCAGATCATGGCAGGTGGGAGTGGCCAGCAGGGGGCTGTACATAGCTGTAAACAGGAAGCTGTGGTAATAGGGTTGCCACCTCATCCCTTTGAACCGAACACATTAATTACACAGGTTCTGTGGCTGACGAAGGTGGTATTTTAAACTCAGTACATTAGCGCCTCCAGGCCCTTTAAGAGTTTCAGAAGCCGGGAGGCAGGGAGGGTTTTAGGGTCATGTGACCGCCATGATTCGTGGTCACATGATCTGAAAAGGTCCCGATCGCAAGGGGAGATCGGGACCTTTCCGTGAGTCACGGGCATATGTGCTCGGAGCGCTCTCAGCACATACGTATTTGCTAATGGCACGCAAATATTCGGGCGCTTGGCGACAAGGCGCAGGCGCCGAGAGGCTGCATATTTGGTTGCACTCGGCATCCAGGAGTTAAATTAGACTCCTCCCCAAACACGTTATTAAATAGGTTCTG